TTTCAATGCACCAGAAGCAATCGCATATCTATTCAATTTTATAAAACTAGTTTTACAAAATAACAATACAGTTTTATAAACCACAAGTGAAATACGAACTAGATTGCGTTTAAATTTTGTGCATAAAGATAGTTCTCTAATACTAATATCTTCATACTCTCTAATTTCAGATGTAATACTCCCACTGACTTTGCTACAACCTTGACATTAGGTCAAGTATAAATATATATCCATATTATCGAGACTTCTGGATTCCTGAAATCCTTACTACAATTGCAAACATATTTAGTGACTCTAGAATCTATCCATCAGGAATTAATAGATACAACCACATAACATGGCTCAATAATTAAATATACATTTTCCTATGCCACGTCATTGTTTAGACAGTTCGTCCTTTAGTGTCTTAGTTAGCGACAAAAGAAACAGTTTTCTTCGCCTTCAACATACACTGTCTTATTTCCTTTAACCTTTTTGAATACCTATGTTTTGTGCTAGCCTAGTCCTATTATCATCCTTCTTCTTTGCTTTGCCCTTCCACTTAGGCCTAGAAGAAAATGGTATAGACTAGGTTAGATTAATAGGAATGCCTATACTTTTGATTATCCCTTTATCTGTTACCAATTCTATAAGAATATCAGCAAGTGTGAACTCAATTTGATTCCTTATTTAGTTCACTCTAACAGAGTCAAACGAGTTTGGTAATAAGGTAATAATCATGTCAACTTGAAACTTACCACCCAAGTCAGCCCTATTGATCTCCAGCTAATTTTTAAATAATAAACAATTATTTTCCAAAATTCGATATCAAACTAGAGTTCCTCAGGCTATCTTGATGGTATTCAAGTCTGACATAGTACTTTGGCATACTCTCTATCTAATCTCACCAAAACATCTTATTGACATTTAACATAATGCTTGAAGAAAATAAAATAACGTAAATGTTAGCTTTGGAGCGTATTCGAGGTAAACTCTAGAATATTGCATCAAGTCATATCATTTGTCTTATTTCACTTATTCAAAGCATTAATGTTCTCTTGGGTATCTTAAAGTAAAAGGATTAGGTTTAGGAGTAATAAATACATTTGTACCCTTACGTTGTGAATAAAATATCTAAGTTCCTTTCCCAGTCAACATTAATGAGGTCCAGCTGCATTGAATATATAAGGAAACAGATAAACTGGATTAGACATAATTAATCTGAATATAAATGCATTCATACAATATGCAAGGTGAATTATTAATACTACCATGCATATTTAAAATTAAAATGAGTTTGTTAACCACATAATATAATAAATCTCAAATAGATAAGAGATCATTATCATTATTGGTGAACAATCCCTTTTAATTAATGTGGGTCCCTCAACTTCATAGCATAATAAATCATACAATCAATACGTCAATAACTTATCATGATGGAAGAGTTCATTATTACTATTGTTGGGATTCATTTGCTATTGGGCGAGCACTTCCATTAACATAATATGTGGGTCCCTTAACCACTGTATGGAAAAACCGGATAACCAATACGCCAATAACTTATTTGGTTGGCGAAGTTCATTATTGCTATTGGCGGGCAAATCCCATCATTTCCATATCTCTTAAGACAATGCCTTGTCTATCTATATGAAATGATTCCCGATTTCGTTTAGCCTTTCTAAAATCACCTAGTGTAGACCACTCCGTTGGGGAGCTAACACTATTGATTTTAGCTTAAGTGTATAACGTTATTAAAACTTTAATGAAAAATAAAATATTAAATATCTTGTCAGTATAATCTAGACTCTTTAAATCATGCGTAGGGCCTTATTTTTAAAGATCTAATTACAATGAACATTTAATATTTTTATTTTCATGAGACAACCATTCTTATAATATTAAGACTCTTCAAATCATGCGTGAAACCTTATTTTTGAAGATCTAATTACAATAGTTTTAATAACAAAGGCCATGGGGTAATGTATAAAAATTCCCGCTCCCACTCAATTTTTTAATTATTAATAATTAGGGTTTTCATTTTATTCATTTACATAATATAATGCATACAAAACGTCTTGATTTTAATCCAATTAAATTTAGAAAATATTTGGACTTTAAACGATTCACTAATATTTAAAAATAATTTACAAAAATGATTTTTCGTTTCCCTATAAGTGCCCTCAAATTAATTAGTATTTAAATCTAATTAATTTTTATAATTTAATTAATATAAATCAAGTCATTTAATTAAATATCATGGATCTAATGCATGAATAAACAATTAATTATTCCATACATCAGTTAAATAAATAAATAACAGACAGAAGCAATTAAAAATGGCCAATGGATTTAGCTTTTAACATTTAATTGCTCTAAGTATTGCGCGAGGGTCCTCCATCCACTTGCAAACACCCGTAGGAGACAAGAACGTGCCTGGAGAAGCAAAAAGGCGCTTGGAACGCACCTGGAAGGTCTTACACGAGCTAGCACACGCCCCTGAAAGGTCCCAGCGCGCGTCACGCGCTACCACGCGCTTACACACGCTGGAGTGTTCATGCTGCGCGTGCTACGCGCTAGCACGCACGCGTGGAAGGTTGCCAGCGCATTTCACGTGCTGGCACGCGCCAGATCTGCCTGGCTTTGTAAGCGCGTGAGCTTTACGCGCGTTTCCATTTGTGGTGCATTGCGCATCATGTTGCTGCACCTCACTATATCATCTTCAGCCACATGATCTGCATCCAACGGTCCCTTGCTGCGGTTGCACTAAATGATGGTGCACCATGAAGCATGGGATTACCATCCTCCATTCTGCTGTTCCTGTCACTACCGGCGACACTCCGGTCACCGGAATTTCGCCGGAAAACCGCCGAAAATAATTAAAAAATCCAGAAAAATTAAATTTAGGCCCTAAAAAATCCAGAAAAATTTCGGAAAATTTCTAAAAAATCTCAGAAAATTCCTGAAGCCTAATTTAACCCTCATGGACCTTTTTGAAGTTTCATAGCATCCTTTGACGAAGATTACATGGCTTTAAAAATATTTACAATTTGAAATACAATGGAAAAAATTAAATTACATCATTGAATTTTCAAACGGCTAAATCAAAGCCTTAATTACATTCATCCAAAGATAAAATTACATTCTAATAACCTATAAGCTTCATTCATGGCCCATACATACATCATCATCAATTCACAATTATACATACATCATCATGTATCAATATATATCAACAAATAAATATATGCATAACAAAATTGGATCCATGATGATAATTTTGATAAAAACATGATCTCTAGTAATGAATCAAACCATGCTCTGATACCACTGTTGGGAAACGTGCTAGTTTTAAAAACTTTTCGACAGATTTTGATTCATAGATCTTGATTCATCATATAAAGACAAGTTTTATGCAAAAATAAAATATGATGTATCATTCAATTAACAGATTGAATACTTACATCAAAGGTCTGAGTAAACCTTTAAAACTTTCCTCTAAAGTGAATGTTCTCACTTATTGTAGATCCCTTAGCAAGATGCATTCTCCTTGGATCTCCATCTTCTTGGCAATTGTTTTGCCTTTAAGAATCACTCATATGCCTCCATGAATGACCTTGGAAAAATAGGCTTGTGGGAGCCTTCATTAGATGAGAACATAAACCCTAATTTTCTAGAGAGAGAAAATAGGTTCATTTTTCCTTCTTCCAAAAATCACCCCTAAAATATACATAGACCATGTATATTTATAAGCAACATAAAGATAAAGAAAAGGAAACAACAAATCCTTCTCAATCTCTAATTCACATGTCTCAAATCTAATATGATTCCAATATCAAGTTGGGCTATGAGTGAGAATCCATTGGGCCTATTATTTTATTGGCTACAATGAATTAATAATTGGCCCAGTCCATAGACCCAATTCAATTAATTCATAAATTAATTTCTACTCCACTAAAAGAAATTAATTGAACTCCAATTAAATAATAAATAACCTCTAAGTCAATATTGCACTATGACCCCTCTATGCATAATTAGTTATCGGATAAATAAAGTCATCAATCCGACTACTTAATTAATATATTTATTTTGGTACCTTTAATTATTTCTGGCTCGATCACAATAAAACATTTGTTTGACAAAAATAATAATTTAAATAAATAAATATATAATAAATCATTTTGTCTAAAAACACACGAAGGCCTTCGAATTTATTTTGTGATCAACCATAATCAATACAAAATAAATACAAGTAGCAATGATGCAAATATTGAAAATATAACCCTCTAACTATTAATTACATAATTACCCAAAGTGCCGGTCTAAGGATTCCGAAGATTCCGTCGGACAAATCAAAATAACTACTAATTAATAAAAGAGTCTATACTTCTCTCATGCTTAAGAGTCAAATGCCATGACGGTGATAGGGAGCAATTGCATACGACGGCTCTCGCAATATATTTCAACCTAACGTGGATCCAATTCAACTCTTAATTAATTATGAATCCATCCATAATTACAGACTATGAACCATTTATGATTACTATTTATATTCATGTATTGATCGTCATCACATACATATATAAATATCTCTTGTAATCAAGTGGACACTATCAATTTTATAATGAATCGAAACATAATACATTAAATTCACCAATTGTATAAAGCATAAATATTTCAGAAACGTCAGAAACTTATGTCACTTTAAACCAAATGGGAATTTGCTATGCCAGGGCATATAAATCCCAACAGTAGTTGCCATGCAGCATCCTCCTCAGCGTCTGCGTGTCGCCTACGTGGTACAACTTCCGTAGGCGGGGCGTGACAGGCAGCTCTGAAGCTGAAATGGAGATCATTCATGCCTCTTACCGTTTGTGGTACTGTGTGCATCAAAGTTTGCATGTCACCTTGGCAACAAGGCCTCTTTTGAAGGAATGTCCAGTATAGTTTATGTAAGAGCTTTATAAAAACATTTCTGTAAATAAGGAAACAAATTAAACACACACTGACAAGCTTGCAAGTGCAATGTAAGGATAGTTTCTCCATTAAGAAGTGTTATTACAGTTAATACAAAGTACCCTTTCTCGTTCTTCCTTTTATCAGGGAACTGAGATTCTCTCTCTTACTCTGTGTCTCAGCACATCTTTAGAAGCCTTCCTCTGTTATGGATGGATGAGGACAATGCAAAGGGAAAATTGCTTTACTGTTCTGCCTCACCAATAGTGATGAATTACCAATATCTCGGAATGGTGACCGTTTCACCTCTGCAAGTCCGTTGCTGCATGTGTGCGCTTTTTTTCTTCTAGCATCACTGAGGATCTCCTGCTTGCTCCCTTTGTCATTAGTTTGATGATTTTCCTTCAGCCGGCATATCAACACACGCTTCTCCTTTTCATTCTGCGAGTCTCGTGAAACCAATGATGAATCTTTTGTCCTTGTTACTTCCCCTTGTCGTTCTATCCTCAACTTTTCAAGCTCTCCCCTAAGTGCAGATATTTCTGTTTGTAGCTCGTCGGCCTTGACTTCAGAGGTGAGAGCTTTCTGTCTCCATTCTTGCACCTAAATAACAGTATGATAATAGACAAGTTTCAGTCACTATAGTTATTTGAATAATTTGAATCCTTTTATGAATGCAATCGGTTGGTGAGAGAGATGATATAGACAACTCATGATAATGATGACAACCAATCTTACATGGAAGATATTTAAGCTTCATAATAAGATGAGCTATAAGACTGAACTATATATTGTCATTAATTACCAAAAAAAAAAAAAAAACGACTGAACTACTGTCAAGAAATATAAATTCTCTTAATAAAGTATCAATAATCACATTCTCTGTTCATAAACATTGGGAATTAAATATTATTCAAGAATTGTGTTTTGTTTTGATGACTGGTATGTAACTTCACTGCTACGTGTCTTGAGCTAGGCCAGAAAAATTACCAAAAGGTCAGGACATTCTACATGTTTGTAAGCTAAAACTAATCACTCATTGAAAAGCACTTAATGAGGCAAAAAAAAGAAAAATTAGGTCTTACATTGGAACGTAAGGATTGAACTTCATAATCAGAACTGAGTGCGCGATCTTCCCAGAAGTCCCTAGAAGCCTGCAGTTCTTCCATCTCCTCCCTGACCTGCCCCAGCATCTCTTGCATTTGGGACCATTGCTCCGTCTCAGCTCTCACTTGCTCTACAATCCTTTTCACTATAGCCTTGCAACATCTCGAGCATTTCTTCTCCTCGTGGGACATTGATTCCTGTGGGAGGTCTTTCTTATAGTTAGAAACATATCTCTTTACTTCTGTCGTAACAAATTAACCAAATGCATGCATAAAAATCAGAAAATGTACACGAGTCCATTGTGTCAACATTTTTTCGGAACTTTCTATTGTGTTTTACCTACGCTATTTAATCAGATCACTTTGTTTCCTATAGCTTTTCAAGGAATTAATTTGCTTTTCTTAGTACTTGCTTATGAGGGCAACTCGAGTTTTCAGAGATGACCTAATAGCTCTTTTTTAAAAATAATAAAACTTTGTTCCCAAATTATGCAACCAACTCTTATATAAACCTCAGATCATGTAAAATAAGAGTAATGATATCAAGAGGCCGACCTCTTGACAAGAGCCACAAGCTCTCTTTAAATGAAACTAGACTCGGAAAACATACACAGAAAGCGTGATATCGGTGTTTGTGATGATCAAAATACCTAAAGGGGCTGAACGGTTGTATTAATTTGGAAAGATGTGAATGTTTAACTAAATGATCACAAAGTGGAGGAAAATTCAAAGATGATATGGAAAGAGGGTGTAACAAAAGATTCAATAAAGTAAAAGTCATCTGTAAGAACCATCTAGCATTGTGTTTTGGCATAATTAAGTCAAACTGAGGATTCAGAAGTTCATAGTTGTAAAATAATTGATTACCATAAAATTTGAAATTAACAATATAAAATGATAAACAGAAGAGAATTTAGAACTTGCCTGATATAGTTGTATTGTAGAGGAAGAAGATGAATCATGAAATTCGATTCGCTTGGAATTAGTAGCCGAACTGGCAACAGAACTGTTTGTTGTTGTAGAAAGCATTGCCCCATATTCCTCTTCCATTCTCTCCAACAACATACCCTTTGACAGTCCCTCTATTTTCCTTCTCAGTACCTCCACCTGGACATTATTTTCAAATCAAAATTAACCACATATAGATATAGATTCAAACTTATATAGGCAATGAAAATGGGGATAAATGGATTGCCGAAAACAGGTTATATTCTTAAATGTTTTACAAAACCAAAGCAACAAGAACAAGACTAGTAATTTTCTTTTTCTTTCATTTTCCTCTATTTTCTTAGCAACCAAATGAAAGACAGAGAAGTTATTCACTCTTACATGGGTGAGCTTGTTATTGCCTTTGTGACCCGAAGCAAAGCTCTGATCGTCGAGTTTAGGACTTGTATTGATGGACAAGCTTGCTTCAGCCATCTCTCGAATCTCCTTTACGCGTTTCTCATCAGACAAGCCACCGATCTTCTCTAACCGGCGCTGCAAAAGGGATGCGTTTTTATCAAAATTACTACAGTTTCGAACCTCGAAATCTTTAACTCTAGAGCTCCTCTGTAGCTCATTCAATTTCTCTGCTAAATCTCCAATCTCTTCCTCCAATACAGCACTCACACTCTTTCCTTCATAAATTTTCTTTCTTCCCTACAAATCAATGACTAAATTAGTCACACTATTAGAATAAAATCAATTTAAATTAACATATGAAATTGAATTTAAACAGAATACCAAAGCTGTTACAGAAATTAAAGAAAAAACTACTGCTGCTCTGTTTGGTTTCTGAGAAATAGCTGAAAAAAAAAAAAAAAAAAAAAAAAAAAAAAAAGAACAACTCAAATATGAAAATCATATTTCTTTCCTTTTTGATTTCTATTCCATCAAACAAAGCATTAAAAAAAATTATTTCTGAGACGAACTTAACTTATTCATTCAGTCTAATCCATTCAAATAGGATTAAAAGCTGCAGCCTCCATTTAGTTCTTGAAAAATAAGAGGAAAAGAGGAAGTAAAACAAAGGAAACAAACAAAATTTCAAGTTGTTTTTGTTTCCAAATATAATAATATATAGTTTATTTGAAAAAGTTATAACAAAACACAAATAAGAAACAATATCTGTACTAGCCACTGTTCAAGTGAAACTTCCAAACTCTTCAAGATTTCAAATAATGAAACATCTACACCCACTTCGTTTTCCAAACACAACCTAAATCAATCAAAGTGGTTGCCAAGAGAAACAAACAGAAAATAACGGAAATCAAAACTCAGCTCAAAATAAGGAAAAATATCTGTATTAGGCTGAGTTCAGTTAATCTTCCAAAAGCTGTTCTTGGATTCTAACAAGTGATGAAAACTCTAAAACCCAATTCATTTTCCCGAAATTTCTCACTAACCAAACAGAACCCAAATCAATCAAAGCGATTGCCAAAATAGGGAGAGAGAAAAAAAACACACAAAAAAACAAAACAAAACAAAAAGAAGATACTAACAGAAACCAGAGTCTGCACCGCAGATCGCAGAGTCTTCTCCATCTGCAATCGATTCCTCTCCAACTTCTTCAACGCAAACTCTCTCTCCATTCGCAGAAATTTGCACTCAGCCCTCAGAATCTCCGCTTGAAACCTCCACTTCTCCTCCGCAAACCCTCCACTCCCTTCACACTCTCCCACTCTCTCTCTCCTCTCTCTCTCATCCCCACCTGAATTCAACAGCACAATAGGAACAGCTCTCGAAAAGGTTCGCTCTTGATCGAACAGATTCTCGAGCTTCCCTCTGTAGCTCCGGCGGTGCTCTGCGTCTGCGGTGGAAAGCGACGGTTTTCCGGCCAAAGTTTTGGGTTGTTTCCGGCGATGCCGCCGTGGGAGGTTGAGGATCTTGGGTGTTGGTGGTGGCGGCGGTGTTGGGTGCCACTTGGGTCTCGTTCTTGTTGTTGTTGTCGTCGTCTTCGTCTTCATTGACATTTTCTCTCTCTAGGATGGATGTCTCTGTATTTGCTCTGTTTTTTCTTTCACTTGATACAGAAGGAATAGGAACGTTGGTTAGGAGCTTATTTTGGCAATAGAATTTGAATTCAACGGTAGAGAGAGAAAGAGAGTGTGTGTGAGAGAGAGTGTGTCATATGAGAAGCCTTTTTGCATGTGGCGAGTGAATAAGAGATTCAGATAGCATAAGATATGGGCGTGTGAATTGATACCTCGTTTTATGGAAGAACAGTGATATGTAAATGAAAGCTTTTCCTTTTTGACATTGCATTGGTAATTTAATTCTTTCAGGGAAATCCGAAATTCATATGAGCAGCAGTAAATATTTGTTCCACTGTTCTGACGATATTACCCTCTCTATTTTTATATGCAAGCCCATTTTTTAAAATCTGGCAAATTAGGAAAAGAATGATTCAAATACGGATACATACGTTCCAAGAGTTGGGTGCTCTATCACTTAAGTTACTAAGATTAACAACAATCTCATCCTGAAATGTTGTCAAATGAGATTTACGTGGGCCCTGTTACCTGGTGGCATTCTATAGTTGGGATGCAAAACAGTTGAACGAAGGTTTATATGTTGTTATACTTTAGAATGCATGTTAATCTGTATGTAGGTTTATTCAAGTGATGATTTGTATTTTATCTTTTTGTTATTTATTTATCAGAGTTGGCATATTTTATCAGTGGATTTGAATCGGAGGGAGATGATTAGGATAGAGGAAAGTAATTGATAGGATCCAAATCTATCCAGTCTCCATTTGATTTTTAAAAATTTTGTGTTTTTCAAAAATAAAATGATGTAATTAAGGAGGCAAATAATCAGTTGTAATAACAATTATAATGAGTTCAGGTATGAAAATGGAGTGGAGATATAGCCTGTCATGTTATGATCCCTAAGATTTTGAAATGTAGAACTACTTTTTTTTTTTTTACACTTGTTACACTTTTTCTAAATAAAAAAGTGATATATATATATATATATATATATATATATATATATATATATTATTTATTCTTAAAATATACTCTCACATTTCATGATTATTCTAAAAATACTCTTGAGCAATTGTCAGGCACTCAGGGACGGACCCAACATGCCCCACTGAACTTTTTATATTTTTATTTTATACTTCAATTTTGTTTAGAAATTATGAAAATATCCCTTACTAAAATTATAATTCGCTCACATTGGAATTATTATTATTATTATTTTTTTTTTTTTTTTTTTTTTTTTTTTTTGCATTTTATACTTTATTTTTTAAAAAAATTTAAGAAAAAAACCCCATTAAAATTACAAAATTGACCCACTATATAAGTTTGCCCCGCCCCATCCCCCTCAAACAAATTTCTGGTTCGTCACTGCAATTGTTATTTCTATAATTTTTTTAAAGTAACATTTTTTTTTCATTATAGTTTTAATGTAAATTTAATATTAGAAAATTCATTTTTTAAAAAGGATTATATGATGTCTTTTTAATACATTTAAAAGAATAGGCCTAAAAGAAAATGAATGTACTTGGAAATTTTATAAAAACATGAGGCCCATTAATCTAGTAAAAACTATAAAAACAACGTACTAACGTAGTAACCAATCAACCACTAAAAGTCTATGAATATGTAGAGAAATTCACACGTTACTTGCAATCCACTTCTTTTTTAAGCAAACGACATAAATGTTTTTCAAACAACTTAGACTCCCCAATTATTTTATTAAAAAAAAATATTATAGTTCATTTAAAAAAGATAATTTTGTCATTTGATATATCAAAAATTCAAGCACATGTAGATGAAACTATAGTATTTGACTGCTATATCATTATTCATAATCAGATTGATGATATACACATATAGATAGGGACGATCTCAAAAAATTAGGTGATGAGAGCTAATAATAAATTTTTTAATAATTTTAGGAGGGTAATAGTAATATTTCATGGGGGAGGCCGGATAATTGTCCCCTCCCAGCCAATGCATCAGGTCCGTCCTACATATGGAATTAGAACCTATTATATGATCGTAACAATATAAATATTATGAGTCACATATTTGATCCAGAGAATAGGAGAGAATTCTTTGACCAAATGCACATTTAATTAGTCATTGTTACAATAGATGATGATGAAACAAGGATCCCACTTTTTATATTTAAGCCTATATTGAGCAATTAAAAAAGTACAATGAGGCTTGCACCACAGCGAATAGTTAGTAAATTGTTAGATATATTCTTTTAATTAATTAATTATGTAACAAATAATAATTCATTGCAAATATTCAAATGAGTATCACTATATTTATAGTTATTTTTTGTTTGGAAGTGACGTGGCAAGAGTACAAGAAGAATCTTAAATGTTGCATGCACAAGTAGACATAGTTTAAGAGGAGCCAAAGTCCAAGAAGAATCTTAAATGTTGCATGTACAAGAAGAATCTTAAATGTTGAGCCTCATTTACTATGATTCTATTGGTCTTAACGTCTGTCCTGTGAGTACCATTTCATAGTAATCAATACACACGAGCTTGGTTGGGAATTTAATTGCCCCCCTCAGTGTGGGTTTATGTGTGTGAGAGAGAGAGAGAGTACCTGCAGGTAACTTGTGAGGCCACTTTTATCCAGGACAGTTAATTTGCTGAAAAGGTAAACTTTAAAAATGTTTAGTTAAAAAGGCCTGTTTGGGGGGCTTTCATTTCAAAAATTGTCTTTCATTTCAAAAATTGTCTTTCATTTCTTTTGCATTACAAAATATTGACAATGTACTGAAAATCTGACCCCCAAGAATCAATTGGCTTAACATTGACACAAAGTGAATTTTTAAAATGAAAACATTCTAATTTTAAAATGAGATTTTTGTTTCTTTGATCTAATTTATTACTGGTACATAAAACATACTTGTGGCCCACATAATTCGAACACCGTATTATATTATTTTCTTTTGAAATATGATAAAATACCACTGAACCTAGTATAATCTTTTACTGATATTTTATCATATTTCAAAAGAAAATAGTATAATCTTTAACTAAACATTGTCAACATTTTTTCAGTACATTTGTCAATATTTTGTAATGCAAAAGAAATGACAATTTTTGAAATGAAAGCCCCACAAACAGGCCTTTTTAACTAAACATTTTTAAAGTTTACCTTTTCAGTAAATTAACTGTCCTAGATAAGAGTGGCCTCACTAGTTACCTGCAGGTACTCTCTTTCTCACACACGCATAAACACACACACAGAGGGGCAATTAAATTCCCAACGATGCTCGTGTGTATTGATTACTAGAAAATGGTACTCACAGAGCAGACGTGAAGACCAATGGAATCATAGTAAATGAGGCTCAAGGCAGAGGAGGAATAAGGTTGACAACGTTGAAAATTAAGTGAGAACAATATATTATACAATGTTCGGACTAGACTATATGGGCCACAGATACGTGACGTATTGATCTATACGAAACTTTTTTTCAAGTTCCATATACAGCCTGTATCGGTCAGTTTATTTTGTCCGAATCTATTACACCGCGACTGCAATCGATACCACCAACGTGAATGATACTGCCGACCATGGCTGTACCCTGGTGGCCCCCCTTCCCCCAAAACTTTTTTTTGTCATTTTGATACATATACTTATGAAATATTACTTTCGCCCCTCTTAAAATTATAAAAAATTTCAATATTACCCTGTTGAATTTCTCATGTAAAATATTTTATTTCATTTATTTGGAGATGGCAAATAACACGAACGTTCATTTTAATCATACAGGACTCAAACCTTCAACTCTTTCTTTTGAAAATTTGTAAAGATACCACCAGAATGGTGTATGTTCATGTTTGAATTTGTGTAAAATTTCTCATATCATAAAATAGATGAAGTGAATTCAAAATTCAAATAACATCATTAAATCATTCTTTTATTAGTTGTTGCATGGTAAAAGGAGGAAGATCGGGTAATTGATGGCATATCATGGATTTTACCGTTTCTAGGACAAAAAGTATTTCCAAATGGAACTTTTTAAAAGTAAAATATTGTTTTATTTAGTAAACCACCACAAGTTCCTAAGATTACTTTTAACCTAATCTGAGATTTTATCCAACGCTAGTGACCGTTGAAGATTCTATTTTTAACATACCTAGTTTTGAAAACTATTATTAACCTAACTACTATTGAAGTACCCAAGTCAATGTTTATATGAAAAAAAAATATCCAACTTCTTCAGCTTGTGGATATTTAAAGTGTTTAGTTAGAATGAAAGTACGTGCTTTGTCTTATAAAGTGTTTTGTCTAATAAAGTGTTGCATGCTTGTCCTCTAGCTCCAGCAAAACCTAATTAGTATCACAGTTTAAAAGAATATAGAAGCATTTTCCTCCATGGAATATATGACAAATGCATCATATACATTATAGTAAAAGTATGAAACTATTGCCTGAACACTTTGAAAAGAAAATAATTGATTTTATCAATTAGTGATATACATATCGAGGAAAAGGAGATGATAGTTGTAATGGACCTGATACTTTTCAACTGAATAAAAGTTTTAAGCTGTTAGGTGGAGCAGTCTACCTTCTTTATAAGCAATTTGCTTCGGATTTGATTTAGGACAAGAACCTCTGGTAGTCCTAGGTGTGCATAACTGACCGGCCTAGCCCGCGAATTTGGAACTCAGGCTGAGCTCACTGCCTTTTTAATTTTAAATGGGTTGGGCCGGGCCTAAACACACTTTAAGAAGCCTAAGCCCTGACCTTGGGCTTGGATTGCATGTTGTGGGCTTGGAACGAGCCGGGCTACGGGCTTAGAACGGGCTGAAAAACGGACTTTAGACGGGCAAACTAAAGTTTCTTTTAAGTAACAGTAACACAAGGAAAAGATAAGTAGTGGAGTCAAAACTTTGAACCTTGAAATGTAAATAGGTTTTGTACATCCTGAATTTATTTTGAAAAATAAAAAATAAATTACATACGAATAATGCTTGATGTTGCTGGTATATCATACAAACTATCATTCATCCATGATTGGTGTTGACAAATTTAAGCTTCGTATTTTCTTCCAAAAGTGATGCTTCAAGCTCTTTGTTTGGTAACTCTGAATGTGATAAAGCTTATTTAATTTAATTTAATTGCATTATTTGTCTTGTCTGCGTTCTTTTATTTAATTGGTTAATTTAAA